TTTACTTGCTAGCTAAAATATTACGGGGCCTTTCCCCCACAAAAACAGCCTTATGCTTCTTCATTCTAAACTTTTCTTCACAGGTTCAAGGAGAGTGATCATTTATGCAAAAATCAGAGATGAAGAGTATAAGTGTGATGATATGACTTAAAATTTGTCTTATTGTTTATTGTTATGATTATGGGTAATCAGAATGATAAAAAGCGGGAATTTGTTGTGGAAATTTTAATAGTCATTGATCCCTAACAGATATCATAAGAGAGAGAACCTATTCAATGTGTAAAATATAGATGATTCAAAGAATGTCACATGTGTGTCTCTCACTTGTAGTGAGAGAAGATTCTGTTTATGTACCTGGGGAGGCAGAAGAGGGAGACACTCCAGAGAACAGACGAACAAGGACCTCTGACCTAGATGTCAGAAGGCCATTTTGGGTGCAGGGGGGCCTATGGGGCCAACTAGTGACGTCTATGGAAAACTACTGGGAGGAAGGCTCTGGGGGGAAGAAGGCCTTCAAACTAAGATAAAAGCTAGTTCAGTCTGTCTGGGGGTGTGTCACTCTTCTGCACAGGGTAACAACTGTGTATTAGACTGCTCCTATTCTTGCAAGAATAAATACTTCTATTTTATATAATTTGACTATGAGTGTCTCTTACGCAGTGATGTTTGTTTGAGATGAATTTTTGCCACAACACCCATTTTTTAATTGGAAGGAAAAGCAGTGCATGTATCTTTAAATGCAAATGAGCTGCTGCTCCCCGCCCCACTTTCCAGAAGAGGGCGGAGCCTGTATAGCTCGTGCCTCCGATAAGTTGCCAGATACAAGATAATTAACGTATTTGTACGATCATTTTGACCTCTGTACGATGTACGATCAATAATGAAAAAAAATCCCATAATCTACGATAATTTCAGAATTTTGTGACACTTCACATGATTTCTATATGATTTGCAAGAAAAAAAAAGTAAAAAAAAAAAAGTTAACGTTCCTGCCGTAGGTCAGTTGTTTCCAAGCTGAGGTCAATAGTTTACCAAGATAAATAGATAAAGATAAGATAAATAGCTGTATTCTGTACGTTTGACTTGTGTACAATAATTTTCTTCCAAATACGCTAATTTTAGGCTTCTGGTACTATACTTGGACATTTCCAATCTGGCAACACTGCCTCCGATATTCTGTCTAAAACTAACAAAACATCCGTTTGGTTTTGATTATCGTCTCTATTGCGGTCGCGCTCACATGAAATTACACTTCTGCATCATCATGAAAGTTTATTGTCTGATTTTTTGTTATTTTTGATTTTATTTTCCTTTAAATTACTAGATTTGAACAATAAATAATAAATAATAAATAAATAGCAATTTAAGCACATTCCTCGCATTCTTTCAACTTAAATTCAAATGAACTCACAATTTCATGCATAACCCTTTTAATTAAACTCAAAATATCTTACATTGAGTGTCTTTGCAGACCTCTTGTGGAAAAAAAAGAATATAACTTGACATTTCATGACTCTAGCCACTAGATGGCCTTATAGCTCTATATGGAGCAAATGAGCTGTTCCGCTGGGTCCTAAAGTCCTTTCGCTTCAGTATGCATTCAGATACTACGGAAGCGTATTGCATTCACTTGAGGGAAAAAAATCTACTCTGTTTTTCTGAATAAACGAGTTAATTATCTCAGAATTATGAGATAATTTTATCTTGAAAAAAAAAAAATTCACTCTGTTTTTATGAATTAACGAGTTACTCATAATTTTGAGATTATTAAGTCATGAATTCAGAAAAACAGAGCAAAAACTTTTTTTCATGAAAAAATATCTCGTAATTCTGAGATAATAAACTCGTTAATTCAGAAAAACAGAGCAAAAACTTTTTTCCACGAAAAAATATCTCGTAATTCTGAGATAATAAACTCGTTAATTCAGAGCAAAAACTTTTTTTCCATGAAAAAATATCTCGTAATTCTGAGATAATAAACTCGTTAATTCAGAAAAACAGAGCAAAAACTTTTTTCCATGAAAAATTATCTCGTAATTCTGAGATAATAAACTCGTTAATTCAGAAAAACAGAGCAAAAACTTTTTTCCATGAAAAAAATATCTCGTAATTCCGAGATAATAAACTCGTTAATTCAGAGCAAAAACTTTTTTCCATGAAAAAATTATCTCGTAATTTCTTAGATAATTAACTCGTTAATTCAGAAAAACAGAGAAGTTTTTTTTTTCCTCAAGTGAATCCAATACGCTTCCGTAAGATACACATGTAGACATTATAAAATAATTTTTGGGTAAAGTTTTAGCATTTTTACTTTCAATTTTGAGCATTTTTAGGTTTTTCTGTGTACTGAAGCATTCCTCGCATTCCATTCATTGCTGAGGGGGTCAAATTGACCCGCGAGGGAAGGATTTGTTACTTTTTTAAATTTCAACCACAAAACTCCTCGAACCCATTCAATTTTGTGTGTATTCGTGGTTCACGTGCGACAAAAGTCCTAGGGTCTTGGACCCCCCTGATGAACACTCATTTTTCAAAATGACCCGAGAAGACGAGTGGGTGGATTTGTACTATTATAGGGTGCTTACACACACATTTATGTTCAAACACCATGCATGTAAAAGTGAATAGGTCCCATTTAAATGTTTATCTTTGCATATTGCATAATGTTTCAAATAACTTTCCTACTTAAATAATAGTTAGTAGTAAACCACACTTGTCCAATAAGCAGAATGCTAGAATTCCAATTCGAACACAGCTACTGCTATTTTGATGAACAAATGCATTTTAATAAATCAGACTTTTAGTTGGTAAAAAAAAAGCTTTTATGAAATATTCCATGTGTTACGACGATATGTGTTTGCTTTATTTGCATTTTGATATTTCAGAGAAGTGTGTGTAATGGTGACACACCAACAGGTGGCAGTAAAGCTCAGGATAAACACAAACACATCATTTCACTAGATACAATGAGTCATTTTCTAAATTAGATCTCTTTGCAACTGAAAACAAATGTGCTGAAACTTTGTGCACATAATGTGAGATGACATTGATCGCTCCAGCCTGGAATTAGACTGTGCCCTCAGCCAGAAATAAAGGCATCACAGCAGTGTGTGTGTCTGCAGCTAGATCCGATGAAGGAGCCGTGTGGCTGATCAAAGTCCGAGTGTCTTGGTCCAGCGTGAAAGTCCATTCTGTGCGTTAGATCTGAGCTTCAGGAATCCAAATCTCTCTTGAAGCCAGCACAGACTGGATTAAACATGAACAAACGATGGACTTTATCATCTTGACACAAGAGTTACCAGTGGATTATCCAAAAACTGGTCTTTGTCTTTGGCTTAAAGCTTGATTTTTCATTTTTAGCACAAAGATTTCTTTCCAGTGAAACTTTATTTCATTTAAATATGCAAGAAATCAGTCAAAACACTGATGGCCATCTTACCAAACGTGTTCCTTTAAAGTTCAAGATGATGTCTCAAAACACAGTGAGCAGACCTTGACATTTAGGTGTGTTACTGCATCTCATTTTGACCAAAATTTGTGGCAACATCACATGCATCCTTATTAAATTAGTCATTCTATCTCTATAATATCAATCCTGTCAGTCCTCCAAGTAAAGCAACATGAAGATGTTTGGTCTAATTAACTAAAATGCATAATTTCATCCAATATTTGAGTGATTTGTTTTGTCATTATCGAGCTATGTAGGGTGAAAATCTGGAATCTGAATTGTAATGGATTTACATTTGGTAAAATGTGTTAAATTAAACTGATAGTATTATAATCTTACTGGCTGCTAAAAGTATGCTCTGATTAGTAAATAATGACTGGCTAATTTCAAAGATTGCAGATGTGAAGAACGTGTCTGAAAGAAGAGATTCTCCAGAACTCTGTGGAGTTTCCTAAGGGATTCTGTGGGCTCAAAAACTGTGCAAATCTTCGGAGGTTCCACAGCTAAAACATCTGCACCTCACAGCATTCCTGCAAACACAGAACTCAAAATGCCCCTATAATGTGGGGAAGTAGAGGTTCCCTTGGGGTTCGTGCTGTAGGGTGATACATGTTCTGCGGGTTATTACATGTTATGCGATAAGGATTTGCTTCAGGGTACACTGTCCTGTCAGCTTGGACCTTAACTTTATGTATAATGTGCAATGGTTCATTATCCTCATTTATGGTTTATTGTCCTTCACAGCACACCATTATTTAAAAAAATATATATATAACTTCAAAAAAAACTTTTTTTTTTTAATTGGTCAAATCCTAATCTGTACACACACACAAAAGACTCAAGAAGCAAAAGTGCATTTTACATAGGACTTGTTTAAAAAAAATACATCATGAATCATTTTTATTACCCATTAAAGAAATATAATACTGATTACAAAACACTGTAAACTACATTTAAAGAAAATACATTTTTGCAGTGTATGTTATGGACATTTTGCAAATTTTTGCATGAGGAGCCTATTTGATAAGACGGAAAAAAAGACACTTCTGTTAATCATCCAAGTGTTCATGATTAGTTGCCAATGAGGATAATCCAAAAACGGCCAAATATTGGAGGATTATTGGCTTGGCATACATATCAGTCTGTCACTCTTTGTTTCCTCTCAGCAAAGCCAAACTGGAAACAAAATGAGTTAAAGATGTGGCAACCTCATGTGCATGACATACGAGCTGAGAATGTGGTAACATTTTACAATAACTTTAACATGTATATGAATGGTTTCATGACATTTCTTGGCATTACTTTTCAATTCCCAAATCACCACACATTTTGCTGGGGAAATTAACATATTGAACAATTTTGAATACATTTTCACTCTTTAGTCTTGCTTGGCATAATGATAAAATGACATCAGCAGTTCATGCTCCTGTTTCTGAGGGTACTGCAAAACTCAGACGACACTGTGTTAATAAAAACGTTTAAACCTTGTTTTGCACTGCTTTCTTGCCCGCATTGCTCAGGCGTGAGATGAAAGCTGAACTGAACCGTTTTCTCCTGAGCGTCACTGAAAGGCTCTCCACTAACCGCTGCGCGTAATGCACACGGCGCACATCGAAGAATGGAGAGCGATAAGACCTATAGATCAATCTAAACTCACAGAGATGCATTATACCTACAGCAGATAAAAAACAAACCTCAAACTGTCTTTTATATCAACGCGTATCCTTCACTGCATTGGAGAGTTTGGATATTATTGCGTGCGTTTTACGCGGATCTGGATAAGTCTGTTTTAGAGGGGATATTAGAGCGAACCGCGCGGGATTACTTTTATTAGAGGCAGTTTGCACGAGTAAGTTAAAGTTGCATGTCATGGGTTCTCTTCTGGCATTAATATTAGCGCTCTCCCTGAGCGCATCATGGGGATGCCAGCTGCCCCACGACTGGAGACCTCAGACGGAAGCGTGCCGCGCCGAGCTCGCGGAGATCATAGTTTTCGCCAAGGTGCTCGCCCTTCATAAGGAGTCTTACAGCGTGTACAACTACCTGCCGTGGCAGTACGACACGGATCTGTTCTTCTCCGCGGAGATCGAGCTGCTGTGCGATCAGGCATGGGGGAGCATGCTGGAGGTGCCAGCCGGCTCCAGGTTCAATGTCAGCGGGCTGGGATATTTCCCCTGCTACTCGTACAGCGTCATGGAGAACAACTCCTACTATTTCTTTTTGAGGTGAGAATGATTCAATTATTATTATTATTTAAAATGTCAATACTGGCTCGTCTTAAAGATGCATTTACTAATGTTTTGCTAAATGAAAAAAGAAACACTTTACGAAAAAAAAAATGAAGATGACTAAGACTAAGATGAAGACTTAAAACAAATCAGTCTTTTACATTGAAGGTCGCCCCCGCATGGGCACTGCCATACTGAGATCACATGACTAGCCATGTCATGCAACTGACTAACAATACTGATAAATATGATATAGTATACAGTAATTACTGTGCTAAAAGCATAAACGACAGGTATATCTAAACAGAAAAAGTAAACAAAACAATATGATGATATCAACATAGGGTACAACGGGGGTAAAGGCACACCGGGGTAAAAGGCACATTTGACTTTTTTCTTTTTTTAAACCAAATGGGACAAAAATTCAGCTCAGCACTTTTCTTAAGAGCCACTTTTGATGATGCACGTGGAAATTTGGCTGATCCTTGACACGATCAAGGACAGCAACCTGCACTAATCTGGGGTGTGTTTCCCGAAAGCATCGTTAGCCAACTATGATCGCAAGTTCCGTCGTTACCAATAGAGTTCAATGGGATTTGCGACCAACGACCATAGTTGGCTAACGATGCCTTCGGGAAACGCACCCCTGATCAATGTAGCAAATGAGTATCGATACAATTATTGTCTATATTTTGAGACAAATGTCTTGTTAATGATTTTCAGTTTTGTTCAAGATAATTAAAGCAACTGTTTTTCAATAACGGAAGAATATGTAAAAAGTATGGTATTTGGCACCCCTGCTGTTAGGCTAGCTAAAGGCATAACAACTAACATAATAATAAATAGCTGGCTGGCATAACATGGTTAGATTCAGATGGTAAATATCATATATTAGGTTGGGTGTCCATCTTAGAGATAATCACATATTTATAATGAAACCATTATATTTAAAAATGTGATGTTAATCATATCATATAGGCTAAATAGCATGTTTCTGTTACTACTGTAAAGCTACTGTACTGTATATTAAATTCTATAGGATCTCATTTAATGCTTTCAGAATCTTTACTTTTTTTTAATGTTTCTGTATTTTTTTAATTAACATATTTTGATGACAAAATAATTATCAAAGTAAATCTTAAATAGTACAAAGTTTGCTAAAGTGATTGTTTTGAACAAGTAGGCCTATTAAAATCCCCCTCTGGTCAATTATTGTATCCCTTAAAACTCATCTTTGATCACCAAAATTACATATTTAAACGTTTTCCCTTGAAAAAAATTCTTCATGCATAAAAATAGCTTTAATGTAACTCTACACCCTTGCCTCATAGTATAAGTGGTGCCATGAATATGCAAATGAGCCCCGCCTCCACTCACTCACTCAGCTCAGAGATCCACTGGTTGACGATCACACGTTGATCTGATTGGTTACAAGGTCGTTTGTGATGTCAGAAACACCAGCGATTTCAAACCGTGTTTTTGAGACTGTCTTATGGAGAAAATACTCAGCAATGGTGTTGACTTATGAATTTGCACATGGTTTGTCTTAAAGCATAATAAAAACACAACATAGATATATAAACAACATTAAAAGCTTTATTTTCACCATTAGGACTTGAACATAATTAAAAACATTATTTTAGCTATTTGTTTTGTGGCTTTTACCCTGTGTGAGGTAAATGGCCCACCTCATACATTTATAAGATTTTTAAACAAACCACATTTTTAAGATTTATTTTCACACAAAATCTGTTGCTCCATCAATGTTCAGTAAAAACATATCTATTTTTTCTGCAATCATACACTATAGGCGTAATGAAAAGGAATCAATGGAGCCTGAGTAAACAGTATAGGACTCCTGAGTAATGGAATGGGTCGGCGTTTGTGCAATCCAAACATAATGAGCAAGAGTAGAACAACACACTTTCAAATAAGCAGTCCTTGTGAGAGCACAAACAACACACAGGTCACAGACAAAACAAAAGATAAACAGCTTTAGTGTGAAGTGACAGCAGTTGGTAAACAGGGCCTATAGGTGTCAGTAAAAGTCCAAAACCACTGATGCTATTGAGACAAATCAAATCCAGATAAACAAAATGCTTCAAATGATGTAAACATATACCTATTGTCTCACATCATTTATAGTTTGCACGCACTCATTTTCATCAATCCGAATGAATTCAATCCAATTTCATTTTCTGAAAGGCCTATATAAACCTTAAACTTTGCAATCCGATTCACATTTTCGTTTACATGTGCATTTATGTATTTTGAACAAAACTTCAGCGCAGAAAAAAAGTGCTCTGGTAAACATACGCATCACAGCTTTAGTCGTATTTATGTGTTGACATGCTTTGTTTTTTCCCCCATTGATCGGACTCCACCCCTTTCAATTCGAATAAAATTAATTTCGTATCAAACTCGACTGAGGTCTTAATATGAAAGCTTTTCAATCAGACCACATCACCATTTTTAGATCATTTAATGTTTGCGGCATTCAGGGTTGCGTGACATATAAGAGTAAACAAACTAAATTAACAAAAGTCATTGCATGAGCTTCAAACCCACATCTCGCTCGGTCTCAGAGCATTGGTGCTTCTAGGACACAACTGTCTGACAGCTGTGCTCATTGTTACCGAAGAACTTGTGAATGTGTTTGGTTGGGTTATGTCAATGCATGGTCCACCAGACATAATCAACAAAGAATGAATATGTGCCGAACAACCCAAATCTCCCTCTATTTTCTTTCGTAATGAATGGAAAATGACTAACTTTGTGTATAATGATCATGAATACTGTGTATAATGATCACAACTTTTGTCAGACTTAATCAGCTCTGGCTTTTCTTTGTTTCTGTGTTTATAGTGAGAATGAAGTCACTCTGGCAGATGAACTTACAAAGGATGAGGTAGCTAGAACAGAAGTGCAGCCCATTTGGATAGGGAGAGATATAATATGATTATATGATACACTATTATTGTGATTTCACTTTTTCGCAAAGACAAACACTTCAGAAGTGATTTATGTAGTAATAGCATAAGGCTTGAATCTTTTGATGACTTTTTTGCTTGCATTTTCCCCTCATGCAGGGATAGATCACGCTCTGGCCAAGTTGTTTACTGGGATTGCACCTCATATACTGAATGTAAACTGGTATCTCAGAGCTGATAATATAACCTGTTTTACCAAAGTAATTTTGCTTGTTGGGTCTATGACACTCTTTTGACACTCAGTAGTTTCTTTAATATTATTGTTTTTTAATAAATACTACTGTTTTTTTTTGTGCACTTTTCATAGTATTTTATGTACCCTAAATACTCACCTTTAAATAATATTTCACACTTTTTAGATAATTCAAAGGGGTGGTATAATGCCCTTTTCACAAGATGTAAAATAAATCTCTGATGTCCCCAGAGTGTGTATGTGAAGTTTTAGCTCAAAATACCCCACATATATTTGTATATAGCATGTTAAAGTTGTCACTTTTTGAGGGTTAGCAAAAACGCACCGTTTTGTGTCTGGCCCTTTAAATGCAAATGAGCTGCAGCTCCCGAGACAGTGGGCGGAGCTTCAAGAGTGTGTGTGTTAGCAGCTCCGATTACCTCACGCAGACACACGCTTAAATGTCAGAAACTGTTTTGCCTTTTATGTTTAAACCGGAGTCAGACAAAGATGGAGAGACTAAGAAGAAGTGACAACATGTAGAATGCAACAGGACATCTCTGAATGGTTAGTTGATGAATTTATGTTGCTGATGTGGAGTTAACTATCTTCAATTAGCATATTCTGTCAGGATAATCTTTAAATCGCTTGTATAGGAACTGTTGTGAGACGCACACAGAGTGACTACAATAGCTCTTCCTCTTCTCAATGTGGACTGCGTGTTCCCGGGGGCGGGGTTTATGTAAATTTTAGGGTTAGTGATGTCACTGACCCGGGAGGAAGCTCGTGTAGTTCCTGCCAGCCGTTTGTTGTAGTCCTTAAAAAACGATTTCTTTAAAAGCAAATCTCTCCCTTTACTTTGAACTTTGAGCGTTGTAACTTTGCAGATGTTCTTTATGCTCAAACAGCAACATTACACACTAACTAGAGTTAGAAAAGTGAAATGATAATCAACCACCCCTTTAAAATGAAAATAAAATGAAAAATATAGCTTGACTGGAAATAGCACATAATGTTCTCTTAATAAATTGTAGGTCATGGTGGAGGAAAAAACACCACAACTACAGTAAGAAACAATAAAAGTGTATAGGCCTATACAGTACATCATTTTTTGCATAATATTTACTGTAATGGCTTAATTCATTAATTCATAATTTTCATCATTTAAATTTGAAAAGACTGGTTTCAACACACAAGTAATATGATTAAATTTACACATATACAGAACCATATTGTCTCTTTTTATTTATTTTATATTATTTTCAACTACATGTATCTACAGGGTCAAACCAGGTCACTGTGAATGAAGTCATAACCATAACAGAAAGAGAGAGTGAAGGTAGCAGGTTTTCACGTTATTCTAAAATTACCTGACATTAGTCCTCTGAAAAGATTCCAACATGCATTACAACAGATGATTGTAAGTATGATCCATGCTTGTAGCACACTCATCATTTTAGTTGCAGTTCATAACAAATTACTAACATTCTTGAAACACATGTCAGCCAGTCTCAAAAACGGAGCATTTAAAACAGCCCTGGAATAACTTCATTCCACAGAACATAGAGTCGAACTGCCCGGCTGACCTGAGGGCAGCAGGTTATAGGTCTAATAGAGTGCTAACAGGCTGTTTTGGCATTTCATCAGGAGTTTGGGAGATCACGTTTACAGTTTTTGTCTCCTGTTATCTGACAGAAAAGTCTTTTTTTTACAGCAGGTCAGAACTGACCTCACCCTCACATTCTCCACGTTAGCCTTGATTTCATTTCTCTATAAAGTGGAGCTTGCTAAGATTTCAAAAACATAAGTTAGCTTGTCCCTCATTTCTTGATCTC